TATATATATATATATATATTCTTGCTCGTTTTCAGTTTTCGATTTTTAAATAACTTAGTAAAAATTTCTTTTCCAATTTGCATCTTAAGATTATTTCTGATCATTTATTTAGTAGTTTGTTTTGGTCTGAGAAGGTAATTATATGTATTTTTCCATCCAGGCATAGTCCTTTGTTTTTTATTGATTGTTGTCGGCTGATGCTTTTTTTTACGTATTTTCGATTATATTTTTGGTGTGATTTATTTAGAAAGCATTGTGTGGTTTGCGTATTTACTATTTGTAATGGATGTTTTGCGTAGTTTCTTTGTTTCCAGTTTCCTTCAGTTACTCCTATGTATATTTTTCTTCGTTATCTGCTGATTTTACAGCGGCTTGGTATATTAAAATGTTCTGCAAGCAATTGCCGTTTAAGTGACATTCGTTATTTATTTTGCAGTTACACGTGGCTTTAATTTGTTCAGGTGGTTTGCTGATTGTTTTCCTATTGGCCTTTTTATTATTTGTGTCATGTTCTCGGTGCAACTGTAGCTGATTATTAGTGTGTTTTTGTTGAATATCTTGTGAATAGTGCGGGAAGGGTTTGTGAATGAGTTTCATGAATATTTTTCCTACGTCTGTTTTTACTTTTTTGTGGTACAGTGGGTTGAAACATATGATGTTTCTTTTCCATTTCCCATTTTTTTTTTGTGCTGTGTGGTGTATATGTGAGAGTTACCAGGAATCCAGTAGCTTTTACGGCTGTTTCACGACTACTTGTGACTTCGTACTAATAGAGCCATTGACGACTTCCGACCATTTTCGTCTACCCAATATCATTAAAATCCTAGAGCCAATTCAGGGTATGGTTTTCGGTCACTCTGTGATTGTCTCGCTTAAGATCTCAATCGTGGTCAGAACCGAACCTAAATCTTCTTGATAGAACGCTGACGAGAGATGTTAAATAAGAGACTGAATAGGATGAATATGATAGAAACAAGTATCTTGCGTCAATCCTTCAAGTGATGTTGGTGGGCCTGCCTTAAAATTTATCATTCAAAATTTTAGTTATTTGCCTGGGCTTGAACCCGGACGTCGGGGGGGGGGGAACAATTCACCATACTTACTCATGCTTTATTATCTGTAAAACACATATGTATAGAAATACCTATCCATGTACGTATTTATCTTGGAAGTAGAATACAGTCGTATTAAATAAAAGCAGGGAAAGATCCGTCGACGGTTGTTAATTTCCACCATACGGGCTATTCATTGTCTGCTTTCGGATGCCTGCGTCTTTCCCCGCTCAACATCAGAAACTCCCCAGCCCATAGCAACAAAAATACTTAGACTGTCTGATAACCTAGACTTTATAGATATGCAAAGATTAGTCGCTTGCAATTACCCCTAGTATCTCTCAGATATTAAAACTCGGCTGTAGTAGGCCTTCCATTGGTGTATACGTCAGATTTGTAGTCTATTAAGAGTGCATGTTATACAGGCATAAATATTTGTCTTCTTCCACTTTTAATTGTATTTTTTTTTCTTTTTATATTTAATGTGCGATATTTTTTTTTTACACTCATTCATTTTTTATAATATTTTTCTTTTTCTTTCTTCAATTAATTTCTATTTTTTAGCATTCATTTAACTTAATTTCGTTATTTTTCTGCTTTAATTTAACTTTCATTTTGCTTCCTTTTACCGTCTGCCGTCACATTTTTTACACACACACACACATTATATATATATATATATATATATATATATATATATATATATATATATACGTGCTTTTTTACCGATATTTTTCGGTTAACAAGGTCGATTTACTGTTTTTTTCATTTAAAAATATGATTCCAACACACTACACAATGTTCTCATGTTTCAAAAAAACATAGCCAACAAAACTTCAATATAAAATTAAGTTTTCGGCTCTTGTCGGTCAAAAAAGAACATTCGGGCAGTTTTATATAATTTATCATCCGAAAAGAAAAAAAAATAAATTATTAGATCGTTGAATCATTTTTAAATAAATATATTATATATATCCGTATATATATCCTTCAGAGTTTGTCTATATTTCTGAGATGATAATAAAAGTATTACGTACATTATTTACATTAAACTGTCCGAATAATGTAAATAATGTAAATAATTGCACCATAAATATGCTCTACTTTTTCTTCATCGAGCACTATTTTTTGATTGTTCGAAAAATAATGAACAAAAATACTAAAGAACTTTGGATTATTTACCTAACAGAGTCCTTTCCTATTTTCTATATATTTTTCAACACACACACACACACACACACACACACATATATATATATATATATATATATATATATATATATATATATATATATATAAGGAACCACCCAGTCATATAGCCATCGACGTGCTTTTTGCTACCAATTGAGCCACAGAGGATCGTTTCAGTTACCTGTCTGGCCAAAGGTCGATTTTACTGTTTTTTTTCATCGGTCAAGAAAAGGCTAAAAATAATTGAATCCTTATTAATAGAAACAAAAAAAAAAAAACAACACTTAATAATATTAACTTTGAACATGGTCACAATGTCTTGACCGTGTTTGGAAAAATGAAAACATATTATAAAACATACATACAACAAACTATTCTTTATTTAACAGTTAAAATATTTAATCCTTGAAAATGGCTAAATGTATAGCCGAAAAAAAACTCGGATAAAAAGAACATTCGGGCAGTTTTTATATAATTTATCATCCGAAAAGAAAAAAAATAAATTATTAGATCGCATGAGAAATTGGACAACTAAAAAAAAAACATTGATAAGCTCAAGAGGCTACAAATCAATTTGCCGAAACGGCGTTCAAGAACAATGGTGAATTCCACGATGTCTGGCCCCACTGCTATACACCTCAAAGAACAAAAGTCCCCAAAAGCAAACGCCAACCCCAATAAAAAAAAAAAATAAAACCTACAAAAAAAAGACCTTTTCTGTCGTATTCAATGAAATTTGCATATATATATATATATATATATATATATATATATATATATATATATATATATATATGTATAAAATTTATATACCATTCTATTTATTCATTTTCTGGACGATGCAAATAATACTATTTAAAATAAACGGACGTCTACTCACATGGGGTATCCACTCAAAATAATATTTGTAGTAATAAAAATAGTTTTAGTTAATTTTTTCACCCCGAGCTAGGCGATAATTACATTAAGGGGCGTGATGGAATATGAGAAGATTTTTGGAGACAAACCGGAAACCCAAACCTAAACCGGAAATAAGGGATACGCTTCTACTCCTGTCAAAAGATAGCGTAGGAATTTGAACCTATGCACCCCTTAAATATTTATATTCACCAACGCACATATGGAAAGAGAGGGAGAAAGAGGGGGAAAGAGAAAGAGAAAGATATTGAAAGGTTAGTATTAGTAGCAGTAGTAGTAATGACAGATATTAATAACCGAATCGACGGTAACCAATATGAAAGAGATAATGACGCTATTAGATTAAAGACAAAGTTTCTATAATTTGCCTTTTTTGCAAACTTTTTTATCATCAAAATGTCAACCTTTGTGAGAGGCGTGTTAGACGATAATAATATTCCTCGCTGTTCGACTTTCGTTCCGCTTGTGTCTCCCTCTCCCCCCCCTCTCTCCCACCTCCCTCTCTTTGAATTTTATTTTACTCACAGAAATTTTGGCCTGTTTTCTTTTCCTTTTTTTATGGGGTGGGACTCTCTTTCCATTCTTAACATATATCAACACTCGTGCCATTTAACAATGATTATAAATTAAACGAATAAAAATTTCAAGTAAGTGAAAAAGAGGAGAGAAAAGATATGATTTGTGAGAAGTAATAAAGTGAGGGAAATTATAACAACAAATGCAGGAAAGAGAAAGAAAGAAAGAAAGAAACGGAAGAAAGAAAGAAAGAAACGGAAGAAAGAAAGAAAGAAAGAAAAAAAGAAAGAAAGAAAGAAAGAAAGAAAGAAGGAAATAAATAAATAAATAAAGAAAAAACGAAAGAAAGAAAGAAAGAAAAAAAAGAAAGAAAGAAAGAAAGAAAGAAAGAAAGAAAGAAAGAAAGAAAGAAAGAAATCCCATTTAAAACCTATATATTAATCGCAACAAATTAAGCAGCGTTTATTTAGATTGCCTGGGAAAATTAGATGTGGTGTAATGGTCAACGAGTAACTTTTGCTGGATCAATTACGACTGAGCAGTGAGCCTCACTAGATGTTCCATATTTTTTACCTTTGTGCCACATCTATCCTACGCTTAGTAAATCGCTGCATTTAAGGGCACTTCAACTCGGCGTAATGGTTAGCAAGCTTGTCTCGCTAGTACAATTACGACAGAAAAGTGACTTCGATCTACACTGGGGGATCCCTACATTCGGACTTTTGCCACATCAAGCTGCCCTTAGTAAATTGCGATTCGATTTGGAGTTAGTTTCGCCACATCATTTATGACAGAGTAGTGAGGATCGAGGCAGGTTTTTTTTCCCCGCAGTAGGTTGCCATTTCTTTCTGTGGTAGACCAGTTGACACCCAAGGCTTCAGAAACCAGTCGGTCCTGCTAGATGGGGAAAAAAAGAAGAGGACTCATACCTTTTCAAAGGGCATTAGCACATAAGTGAATGTAATGCATTCGACAAGAATTCGAACTCGGCGCTCCGGTTCCTCAATCCGAACCACTATTCATGATTTCACTGTGCCTCCCTGACTTATACGGTAACAATTAGATTACCAATAGCAATTCCGATACTAATACCACCATGGTCAACTTTGCATGAGTTTTGAATAAATGGATTTTAGAAAACTTGATTGTATTTTGCCTTCTTATTTCTTCCCCGACTATTAAGCCTGTGAGTAAAAGAAAAAAAATGGGGTTTACCCCACTTGAGGTAACCGTTTTCTGGATGAGAGGAAGTTTGGGTCAGGTTGGAGGATATTTGGAGTAAAGTGGCATAATGGGCTTGAGGGTTAAAAGCTTAATTAAGGTTTAAGAGAATAGACCTACGTGGGAGAAGGAACAGGAAGAATTAAATGCGTGAAGGAAAGGCGGGGGAGTTATGACGGTGAAAGAAACTGAAAAATGTGGGGAGATGGGTGAACTAGAATTAGAAAAAGACGCAGAATATAAAGAAAGAAAGAAAGAAAGAAAAAAAGAAAGAAAAAAAGAAAGAAAGAAAGGAAGAAAGAAAGAAAGAAAGAAAGAACGTGTAAGAGACAGGGAGACAAATTTTAAAAGGAAAAGAAAAGAATGAAAGAAATATAAGAAACAAGAAGTTAATGAAAAAAAAGAAGAAGTGTAAAATAATACGTGGTGAGGGATGAAAGTGGAAGGGTGTGAAGTGAGGCGGAAAGAAATATAGAAGGTCAAATGTAAGGAACGAAGAATAAAAATGCCTGAAGAAGAAATAAAAATAAATGACAGACAAAACGAAAGAAAGAAAGCGAGAATGAAAGAAAGGCAAAAAAAAGAAAGAAAGAAAGAATGGCAATACAAAATAATGAAAAAAAAATGAAAGAAAGAAGCTAAGAAAATAAGAAAGTAAGAAAGAAAAAAGAAAGATAGAAAAGGAAGCCAAGAAAAAGAAAGACAAATAAACAGAAAAGAAAAAGACAGAAACGTATACGAACAGAATGAAAGAAAAAAGATATCAGTAAGATATGAAATGAAAGAAAGAAAGAAAGAAAGACAGAAAGTAAGAAAGAATGGCAAAACGCAATAAAGAAAAAAAAACAATGAATGAAAGGAGAAAATAGGCAGCTAAGAAAGAAAGAACGAACGAAAGAAAGAATGAAAGAAAGAAAGAAAAAAAGAATGAAAGAAAGAAAGGAAGAAAGAAAGAATGAAAGAAAAAAGAGAATGATACAAAGATAACAGAATGAAAAAAGACGAAAGAATAAATAAAGAAGTAAGATATGAAATGAAAGAAAAGAAAAGAAAGAAAGAAAGACAGGAAGTAAGAAAGACAGAATGTAAGAAAGAAAGAATGGCAAAACGCAATAAAGAAAAAAACAACGAATGAAAGTAGAAAACAGGCAGGTAAGAAAGAAAGAATGAAAGAAAGAAAGAATGAAAGAAAGAAAGAATAAATAAAGAAGGAAAAAAGAATATTTTCAAGGATATATGGGAACGAAGGAAAGGAAAAAAACGTCAACAAGAAAGAAGAAGAAGAAGAAGAAGAAGAAGAAGAAGAAGAAGAAGAAGAAGAAGAAGAAGTGAAGGTATAGTTAAATGAAATGCAAACGAGAGGCGACAAAAATAGCTCTTTTAAATAGGAAGAAACAAAAAACGCAAGTTAAAATAACGGCTCGAAAAATAAATGAGAAGTAACGCAATTGCCGAATGGATAATAAATAATCCAATAAAAATATAGAGCTTAAAAAGTCGAACGACAAAAGCAAAAGGAAAAAGAAGCAGAACGAAGTTTAACACGAAAATAGACTCGGCAAATTGCGAGTGATGTTATTCATTAAAAAGCAATAGAGAAACTGCGAACCTATATCAAGCATAATCGGTCATAGAGACGCGCATAGGAACTGGCCAATGAATATTCCTTAATGCCTATGTATAAGTGTGCTTTAATTTGTGGGTCCCAAACTGGGCCAATCCAGGGCACGGGTAACGAGTACTTTATTCTTGCATGAGGTTTAGTATATTGAGAGACGCGCAAGCGCGGATATCTCTCCAAAAAAGAAAAAAAAAAAGAGATCGAGAGAGAGAGAAGTAAAGTAAACACAGTTGCAGGAACAAATAACTCCACAACTAGCTTCTACTCTCACAGAGAGTCGCAACATAGGCACGCAGTATAAATGCAATATTTTCAAACATACGCACTCTCCAAATATTTAGTAAACGTAGTCTTGTTTGGCACAAGGTCACAGCGATTGCGGCTCCTACTCGCTATATTAGTAATTGTCTATGAGAAATGTTTAAAACTGTTTTCCGCAGTACACTTCTTCTTTTATGTACCATAATCTTTCAGGATATGGACAATCATGGCTCTCCACAACTCCCTGTCTTTGTAGTTTTTGCCCTCGCATTCGTTTATTTATGAAATCGGATGCACGCTGTTTTTACTTGCTTCTCTTGATTTCCTTATATCATGTGAGTGTCAAATTCTCCAAGGCTTCTTTCCGAATGATCTTGTCTTAGAAATGTCATCTGTTTCTTCCTGGTTTTCAAATCGGATGCACGCTGTTTTCCCTTGCTTCTCTTGATTTCATTATATCATGTGAGTGTCAAATTCTCCAAGGCTTCTTTCCGAATGATCTGTCTTAGAAATGTCATCTGTTTCTTCCTGGTTTTCAAATCGGATGCACGCTGTTTTCCCTTGCTTCTCTTGATTTCATTATATCATATGAGTGTCAAATTCTCCAAGGCTTCTTTCCGAATGATCTGTCTTAGAAATGTCATCTGTTTCTTCCCGGTTTTCAGCCGCAGTTTCTTTGCAATTCCCTTTCTCCCTAAAGCGTCCTTGTTTCTCACATATATTGTCTAGAGAATTGTCAGCATTCGTCTGTATACATATATGTATAGCTGGCCACTCGCATTCGAGGATACTCGTTTACTAGGGCGGCTAGCCAATCCCTATTTCAGACGGCTACTCAGGCGCATTTGTGTTTATTCAACACCCACAGAGCCCACGTGTAGTTTATACTGCAACTATGCTGAGCAGATCTTAGTTAAAGTTTCTGGGAAAGAGCGTGATATCTAGCGTGATCAACAATTTGAACAAGGCCATCACGCTCAAGCCGTTGGCCACGATAACTTGTGACTTCCTGCTAGCACAACAATCGACGTCACCTAAGGGTTCCGTCTACCCAATTTCACTCACAAAGCTTGGGTCAACCCGCTGTATGGTTTTCAGGTACTTTCCAAAGGTGGCGCACTCTAGGATCGACCCCTCCATTCCGATAACATCAAGAAGTCTCCTTCCTGACTAATCGACCATGGTGAGATTCGGGTCACATGGTCAGAGTGCGAACTTTCTAACCATTCGCCTGTAGAACCGAGTCAACGGTTCTCTAACCCTTTTTTTTGTAGCAGTTAAGCATTTTTACTTTTTATTAGGTTGGTGCAAAAATAATGACGTAACAATGTCGTTTTTTGACGTTAAAAAATACGTCAAAAAACGACATTATTACGTCATTATTTTTGCACCAACCTAATACTAATGACATTTTGCCGAATCTCAATACTTTGGTTGGTTTCTGGAACGGATTTCTCTATCATTCTTTCCGTCGCCCGTTTCTCTACTACTCGTATTGTTAAATTTCGCTTGCTGCTGTATATACATTTATTAAACTACGTACATTTATATCCTGCGTATGATGATAAACTACATCCGGCAGCAAGACCTCTGATCGGTAGATTGGAAATTTTGATGAGCGTGGAACAACCTCTTAATTACACTTATTCCCGGGGTGTCCTTGATTCGGGGTGGTAGTAAGCTATGGTCAAATAGTGAACACCCAAACAAAAACAAACATCATGAAAGTACAAAAATACATTTTATAGTAAAATTGCCAACAGTGCATATTTAGGGCAAAATGACCAATAATATATTTTATACTGCCAACAATACATTTTATAGTACCAACAATATATATTATACTACCAACAATACATTTTATAGTACCAACAATACATTTTATAGAACCAACAATATATTTTATACTACCAACAATACATTTTATAGTACCAACAATATATTTTATACTACCAACAATACATTTTATATTACCAACAATATATTCTATACTACCAACATTACATTTTATGGTACCAAGAATATATTTTATACTACCAAGAATATATTTTATACTACCAACAATGTATTTTATATAAGTGAAGGCATACAATTGCATTCAAAATCTATTTTTAGTTGAAGCTATAAAATTGTGTTCACAATATATAAATTTCTGCATTAAATAACCCATAGGGGTTGATATGCCGCTAAAAATCTACAAAACAACCAACATGAAAGAACATTATCATGACATCAATCCAGATAATATCCTACGATTTGTTAAAGAGATCAAATTGTATTCCAAAATATAAACTACAAAATAAAAACACATATATCACCGCCTTTAGTAATTATGTTTACACAAACATATATATGCATAAAAGCTGGGTGTCTTGTATCATAATTTTATTACTTAAAAACACCCCAAAAAATTAAATTTTGGCAGTAAATGACCCATAAGAAGTTGATCTGTTGTTAAGCAAACAAAACAAAGAAATAAATGTACTTATACTAATTCAATCCCAAATATACATTTACGAATATGAGTTTATGTGTTCATTTATCCCTAGTAATACATTCGAACACGAAGACTGATCTTTCCATTTTTGATTTATTGTATCCAAATATTCTGGGCCTAGCAACAGATAGGCACTGTAGAGAAACCTACTCTTAGCCTACAGCTAATAATATGAAAATCATGTGACCAAAGGCGAAATTCGATTCGTTCTGTTCAACAAGCGCCAGACCAATCCGTCGCCCTCACTCCACTGCGCGGAACATCGAATACTTAAAACGAGGTTAACGTTCGCGCATGCGCAATGTCACTGTTCGTTTAGAGGCTGCCATTCTGAGCACGTTTATTATGAACACAAACCGTGTGCATGATAGCTTTTTTTTTCCCTACTTCACAACTGCCTACATAACTGTACATGTGTGCGTAAATATGTTTGTAAACGCATAACAAATGAACTGTGTTGGTGGTGGTGATGGCCGAAGTTGTATTTGAAAGGTCAGTTCGCATCAACTCTCGCAGACAGTTACATTAAATCCGCTGAGGTGGAATTGTTAGGTGATTCAAGGTGCAAAATTGTAGCCAATCAAAATGGAAGCCGACCAATAGCCTTTAGGAGCGAGAGCGAATTGAATCACATTGGGCGTATATTATAAGTAGTCATGTATTTTCTTCTGTTAAAGTCAATTTACTGATCTTCTGGGATAGTTCCCTCTCACTCATGCGCGTTAGTTAGATTTTTAGAATTTAGGGGTTTCAATAACTTTCCATTTATATGAGTTAAAGACTATTTTGTTGGAAAATTGATGACAATAATTGACGCTATATACTGGACATTATATGCTCTTGCACTTCTCCTCATGAAAATTGTGTATTAGCTACTAGAGGTCTCTCCAGGGTTAAGCTCATCGTAACGTATACCCACAATATATATATATATATATATATATATATATATATATATATATATATATATATATATATATATATATATACCTTATTTATATATAGACATAAATATTTAAGTAAATGCTCTGTTCATAATAAACAGTATTAACAACATTTACCGTCCTGATTTCATCGAAAATTTCCGTCCTCCTACAGGAATCGAACCTCTATCCTACACGAATTTTATTATAAACAGCATTTTCTTAAATATTTGTGTCTATATAAATAAAGTATAACAATAAAATAAATTAAGATAATTGTCGGAGTTAGCCCATTTCATTATATATATATATATATATATATATATATATATATATATATATATATATATATATATATATATATATATATATAGTTTTAAGGTGTGCCATATTTATGGAATAAAGTGCTCAATATCAGAGATAGAATGTATGTAAATATAAATATAAAACACTTCAATGTTCACTTATATATATGTACATATATATATATATGAATAAGAAGACGAGGAAAAATTATTGTTAGCCGACATATTTCGATCTCTGAGGGACTTTTTCAAAGCAAATGTAGTAATTATTTCGTTACAAGTGTTTATATACACACTCAAGGATGACATTGTTTTATCAAGGCTTTTAAATTAGAGAACGAAATTAATATTAAATTATAAATGTACACCCCTGTTTCTTTCCAATCATATATTTTCTGAAAGAATTAACACTATCCCAAACCAACATACGCGACCACAAAAAATGTTATATATATATATATATATATATATATATATGATTTGTGGATTACAAAATTTCATGAACTTAAAGCAAAGGGATTTGAGTTTATCAAAAGAAAGAAACAATTATAAATCCTGACGTTATTTGGTAAAAATTTTCGGCGAGACATGGAAAACATGGTTAGAACTGTGTAGCGAAGAAACATATTTTAAATAAATCAATTTATAATATATATATATATATATATATATATATATATATATATATATATATATATATATAATTAAGTTATGAAGAACTTGGTAATCCGTATGGGTAATCCCAAGGAGGATGAAATCCTGAGAGCTCAATATAAATCCAGAGCTAATATTTAAAAGAAAAACAGACCACTTTAAGGTTCCATTATAATAATTTATTTCACCAGAGCCCTTTTAAAGGACGCCGGATCATCTGATAGCACTTCCAAAAATGAAACGAAGTGAAAATTTTTGATTTGATTTTTCGTTTCATTTCATTTTTGGAAGTGCTATCTAATGATCCAGCGTCCTTTAAAAGGGTGAAAATAAATTATTATAATGGTACCTAAAAGTGGTCTGTTTTATTTATATATATATATATATATATATATATATATATATATATATATATATATATATATATATATATATATATATATATATATATATATTCTCACATACAGGGTGTCCAAAAATATGTACTTCTCTTTTTTTTTTCCTATAACTTCTTGATTTTTTTTCCTTTTTCAGATCCATGAATTTAATTTCAAATTTTATTTAAGCACTTAATCTTTTTTGTGAATCAATCAACATTATTTAAAATTTTCTTAATTTTAAACATTAATCTTGTTTGCAAGTGAAA